CTGCTTAAAATGAGGGGGGAAAGCCAAAGAAGTAATACAAACAAACCTAATTCAAGATATAATACAATAATACAATTAATTTTTCTTATCAATTTAAACAAATATTATTAATATTATTATTGTATCAATTTAAACAAATATTATTTAAGTGTGTTTAAAAATCTAAAAAATATAAGAGACAACCTTTCTCTCCCTCGTCACCATTTATTCAACCCAAAGCTTCATTCTTTCATTTTTCCACTTGGTTGTCAATGCCAAAATTGTCGCCCTACACAGAGCAGTGACACACCATGCTAACCCCTCCATAAGCACACACAAATACATCTTCCACTTCCTCCCTCGACTGCCATTTAACATTTATATGGCAAATCAAAGCTTAAGAACCTATTAGGAAGAACAATAGCAGTGTGACCTGCAGTAAAAAAAAAAAAAAAAGTAATTTATATTTCAGATGCTGTGTTTACCATACAGCCAGTGACCTCGGAAAGAGCTAATGGTGAATGAGAGGACAAGCGGAGGCTGCGATGGGTTCCCATTCAAGGCTGACAAACTGTAAGCTATTCTGCTTTACTGTCTATTAACAGTTCAGCACGGTCTGAATATAAACAAGTATATGAATATGTATAAGTTTAAATCCAAATAATCATTGGTAAAGAGGATGACCAGACTCACTGAATGTACATAAGAAGTACACCGATGCTGTTTAATGCTATTTATCAGTATTGGTCACACTATGGGGACCAATTCTCAATTATTCAATTAACTAACTATTAACTCTGACTTTTTCCTCAATAAACTCCTAAATTGCTGCTTATTAATAGTTAGTAAGGTAGTTGTTAAGTTTGGGTATGGCATAGGATTAAGGGATCTAAAATATGGTCATGCCGACTAAACCATTAATATGTGCTTTATAAGTAATAATAAACAGCCAAAATGCTTGTAATATGCATGCTATAATAAGCAACTAGTTAATAGTAAGAGCTGGTTCTTAAAATAAAGTGTTACTTCAGTATTTAATGATAGTGTTTCTCTAATAACATAATTATTCAGTCAGAATTAGATGGAACAGAAAATTGACATAAACCTCTGAAACAACATTGCTTACCACAACACTCCATAACTTCTCCAAGAAAAACTGTAAGATAAAACCAAACAGATTGAAAAAGGGTGAGTCAAGATTTTTATACTTCCACTAAGCTTCACAAATCATGTTCCTGAATAGTGAGGCATGCTATGTGTTAATTGGATTTTAACTGTTAGTGTAAGGCAAAAATGAAGGAAGCTGTAATAGTGTTGGAGAATGTACTCCATATTAAATTGAAGCAGTGTTAGCAGATGATGAGTGCACACACACACACACACACACACACACACAATCAAATGGGCTCCTGGATGTTTCATTCATTAATAGATCCATTAAGAGTCTCTTAATTACACTTTGTACTCCCAGAGAGACACTTCTGTCCCGACCGCACCACGCCTCCCCCTCCCTTACCATCGTACCGCCCATCACTTTTTCTGCTGATGAGGGAGTCCCTGAAAGCACAGAGCGGCCCTGCCCATCCTCAGAACCGTCGCAGGGGGCCCCACAATGCAATTAGATGAAATCTCAACCTCTGCGAATCAGTCTGTGACAGGAGTCTGAATTATAAGTGAATGTGTGTTGAGTCAGCGCAAACAGAACTCAGGGGGTCCACGCACACTTTCTCACTCCTCCATCAAACAAAATATGAAGATGGGAAAACAGACTAATGATGAGCGAGCATGGATAAATTAATTCTGGAGGAGGATTGAGAGAAATAGAGAGAGAGATTCAAGTGAATAGAGCTGCAATCGACTAGCTAACACCTCGAGACATTGAGATGAGATGCTGGGAAGAATACAGGCAGGGACAGAATATAAGCTGTGCAGTAGGAAACACAGAAAGTTAATGACCATGTTAACTTTTGGCAGAATGTGAATCAAAATTAGGATAAATTATTCAAGAGAGGGTTTGAATAGAAAATAGCCATTAACAGCCTTTTACAAACACAGGGACACACTTAAAAACTTACATCCATTACACTCTCCCAACCATCTTCCCAAGAATTGACTACATACCATTCTCGCTCTGTATCCGTCTATCTCTGGAGAGGCTATGTCTGTCGACTTGAATCAAAATATCTACAAATCCTGTTTTAGCTTCTCAATAGACACACACATAAAAACACATATGTTTACTTGATTTACTTTACTGATTTAAGTTAATTACAATTAAACTACATTTAGTACTGTTCAAATGTTTAGGTTGGGTAAGATTTTTGAATATTTTTTAAAAGTCTCTTATGCTGTCCAAGGCTGCACTTCTTTGATCAAAAATATGGTTAAGACAGTAATATTATAAAACCTTATTACAATTTAAAATAATTGTTGTCTATAGTCATATATTTTAAAATATAATTTATTTCTGTGATGCAAATCTTAATTTTTTTCAATCTTTCAGAATTGTTTTCATTTATTCCAGTCTTCAGTGTCACACGATCCTTCAGAAATAATATTAATATGCTTATTTGGTGCTCAAGAAGCATTTCGTATTATCATCAAAGTTGAAAACAGTTGTGCTACTTAAAGGGATAGTTCACCCAAAAATGAAAATGTGATGTTTATCTGCTTACCCCCAGGGCATCCAAGATGTAGGTGACTTTGTTTCTTCAGTAGAACACATATGATGATTTTTACAATGTGACGACACATTGATGTCCTAAGACTCGAAACGATCGGTTTGTGCCAGAAACCGAACAGTATTTATATCATTTTTTACCTCTAATACACCACTATGTCCAGCTGTCTTTGGGCGCGCGCACGGCATCTGGTGCGTGAGGTGTGTACGCGCTCTGGCGTAGTTTACATTAATGGGTGTGTTGATATTCAGCCGAAGAGCAATCAACCATAACTTCAGGCGAGCAGGCTCAGAAGTTGGGAATACATGGAAAGTCACCACTCCCGAATGAGTTCACGTGAGAGAATGTAATCTTTTAGTTTTAAGTCGGTTTGAACAAATCCGGATAAGCGCAAGTAAGTACCATTTTGATTAGCCGTCATACCTACAATGTTTGTGCACTGTGTAAACAATGAGTGACGTATACGCGTGAGAGATTACTTCCGGCGCTTGCGCAAACTATGCCAGAGCGCGTACACACCTCACGCACCAGATGCCGTGCGCGCGCCCAAAGACAGTTGGACATAGTGGTGTATTAGAGGTAAAAAATGATATAAATACTGTTCGGTTTCTGGCACAAACCGATCGTTTCGAGTCTTAGGACATCAATGTGTCGTCACATTGTAAAAATCATCATATGTGTTCTACTGAAGAAACAAAGTCACCTACATCTTGGATGCCCTGGGGGTAAGCAGATAAACATCACATTTTCATTTTTGGGTGAACTATCCCTTTAATATTTTTTTGGAAACCGTAATATTTTTTTTTGTATTCTTTGATTTCTTTCTTTCATCCTTCCTTCCTTTTGTGAACTTCTTAGGCTGTTTTTGAGTAAAATGCATTGATATTGTCTGAAATTGTCAATGTTTCTTTTTATGCCCATGTGAAGCACACTGAGTGCAGCTCATGTATGAAAAGTGCTATGAAAGTGCTATTTTCTGTATGAAAATAGATGCTTAGCATTACAAAAGATAGATAGATAGATAGATAGATAGATAGATAGATAGATAGATAGATATGGAATTTTTTTATTAGAGAGAAAGCAGTCAGTTATCAGCTGTCCCGCTGAGTGCTCTCTTCAATACCTAAACAATAAAACTATGAATAATGTACAATCATTCTTCTGTTAAATTCACTGAGGCAGGTAAAGTGATGTCACTTAAACGTTAAATGGATTCTAACATATCCAGTTAAAGCATAATAATGCTAAATGCATATAAACAGCCACCTATTCCTTCCAGAACAACCTCCTTCTTCACCATTTCTCTACATCGATGAGTGTGTGTGTGTGTGTGGAGGGGGGGGATTCATGCTTGAACCCCTCTATTAGGGACAGAAACATGTACGTGTCGACCCTTTGCCTTCTATAGATTTACCCAAAGGGTAAACTAGTGTTTAGATCAACCCTGAATTTAATTTTCAGACGTCATTTGGAGCTCCTGAATTAATAAAGACTAGCCGTAATGAACTGTAACTCTGAATCTCCCCTGCCTCTAAGGCTAAACTGAGCTGACTTATCACTTGTGTACATGTGCCCGGTCATTTCTTCAAAATCCACCTAGACAAAAAGATCATTAAAAAAACATATCATGAAAAATCTTTTTAAATAAATAGGTTTGATGTACTCCTCTATGTAAAGATAATGTGATTTCAACCGAGAAACTTGTTTGCAGTTAAATAAAATAAATAATTAAACATTTCCAGATTGCTTCCAAATGATGTGCTGTTTCTGCACTGCAAAAAATGTTCCCTATCGATACTTCACTCGTACTGCGTCTGTTTAAGACGCTTGGGGAAAACTCCTTTTTCTCCGATGACTGAAGCCTTTCAATAATGCAGTGTAACTGCAGGGCCATTGGTTCGTGCAGTGAATAAAAAACGAACCAATGGCTCGGCAGTAAAGCCCGCCAAAGCCCGCCAGAATGGGCGGGGTCATCTGGCTATATAAGCGGCACATTGCCATAGGATCCTCAGATTATTCTCCTTCAGCGACGACTACTAGATCTTCGCTCTACGAGACTACGAAGCCTTCGCCGTGATCAAGCCTCGCAGGGGATCGAGAGACCCCTTCCTGCTCGACCATTCTCGCCGCTTCACGCCACCCTCGCGACGGTTTCCGGTTCCCTGCCGCTATCCGGCGATATAAAAGAGCAAATTTCAGAGCCAATTTTCAGCGTTATTTCAAATGCCACGCCGTTAATGTCGCTCGTGCAGGGGCCCCTTGCACACCGCTGACGGTCACGGCGAGTGTGTTTCATGCTTGGGCGCCGTGAGGTTATGAGTCTCGCCTCTCTGCGCTCACGGAAAGCCTTCTTTTCAGTGAGCGACTCCGCCCCTTGCGCCCTCCCGCTTTCTTCCTCCCAGAAGCCTGTGAGGAAAAAGCAGCGGGGTAGAGGAACTCGGCGCTCGTGACGAGTGAGCCCATGCCGGCTGAGCCCCTGTGTGCCTCACTCTCTCTGCTCAGAGAGGTTTCTCCAGTCCACTTCTCCCTCCCAGACCAGCGTCCCTCTGTGGCTGCGAGCGATCTGGTCTCATTTGGAGGAAGCGAATGTGACGCCATGGATGACAGCATCTCGTTGGAGCCTTCAGATGTGGAGGAGCTGTCAGGCTCGTACGTCGACCCCACCCCCTTGCCAGCTGCACAACCCAGCACAGGCATGGACGCCGAGCTTTTTCGTGTTCCTGTCTAAAGTTGTGGAGGAGGAGCCCACCCGCAGCCGCCTGGATGAGTGGTTCTTGCCGGGGCGCAGTCAGGCCCCCCAACAATGAGCTTCACCATTCTTTCCGGAGGTCCACGACGAGATCACCAGGTCTTGGCTTGCCTCCTACTCGGCCCACCTTCATGCCTCATCTTCGTCCACCCTCACATCAGTTGACGGCGCCGAAGAAAAAAAATACGACAGACTGCCTCCCCTGGATGAGTCAGTGACTGCGCATCTCTGCTCACCCATGGCCATCGGCTGGAAGGCAAAAGCGGCCCACCCGTCCAAACCGTGTAGGGCGACTTCAGCTCTCGCCGGACGAGCCTACTTGTCTGCTGGACAAGCGACCTCGGCGCTTCATTCCGTGGCAGTCTTCCAGGTCTTCCAAGCCAAGCTCCTCTGTTGCATGGACGAGTCCGGCCCAGACCCCGCAGCTTTTAAGGAGCTGCACAGTGCGACCGACCTGGCTCTACGCGCCACCAAGATGACAGCGCAGGCGATTGGCAGATCAATGGCCAGCCTAGTGGTGCTGGAGCACCACAGAGATCAAGTATGCGGATAAGGTCCCCTTCCTCGACTCCCCGGTTTCCCCTACTGGCCTGTTTGGACTTGAAGTTGAGTGCTTTGCTGAATGCTTTACCGCTGCACAGAAGTCGTCCCAAGCAATGCGACACTTCCTGCCAAAGCGCTCCAGCTGTATGGCTGCTTTTAGTCACCCCAAAAATGTGCCGACTCATCATCCCGCGAAGCCCGCGCCACCAGTTGCTCCCACGTCTCCTAAGCCCGAGCCTCGCCAGCGCTCCCGCTCAGCCAGACACCACCAGTTTCCTAAATGCCAGGGCCACCGTCCCAAGATAGTGTTGGACCCTATGCCTCAGGCGTCATCCTGATCTGCGGGACAGGAAGAGGAGGGGGCCAAGTCTTGTTGCAGCCGGACCACCCCCCAAAACGCCTCAGTTATGTCTCCAAGCAGCCTGTTCAGTTCCAGGTGTCGATGGCAGTGTGTTTGTGACCCAAAATACTGTTGTGAACATGGGGCCCGTTCTAATCGCGTCCACACAACCAACCGCTGTTATAGCGGGAAAAATAAAACACAAACATTTTCAAAAAGAGCAAATTTCCTCTTCCACTCATTGCGAGCGTCGGGTCCCCCCTAGGTGGCCCACTGCTCGAAACAATCCAGTCACTTGCCATGCGGGCCGAGGCCTGGCAGGCCATCCCCGGAGTGTCAAGCTGGATCATGGGGATAATACAATGAGGTTACACACTCCAATTCGCTCGAAGACCCCGCATTTCAGCAGCGTGGTCTCCACCTCGGTTCAGAGCGAGGATGCATATGTCCTATGCGCCGAGGTGATGAATTTGCTTGCAAAAGGAGCCGTAGAAACGGTTCCCCCAGCCGAGAGCGAGTCAGGCTTCTACAGCCGTTACTTCCTCGTCCCCAAGAAGGATGGCGGCCTAATGCCCATTCTCGATCTCAGGTGTCTGAATCGCGCCCTCATGAGACAGCCATTCAGGATGATTACATTGAAACAGATCCTCTCAGAAGTATGCCCAGGGGACTGGTTCTTTTCACTGGACCTGAAAGACTCTTACTTTTACATCCAGATAGCCCCCCGTCACAGACGATTCTTGAGATTCGCCTTCGAGAGAGTGACTTATCAATACATGGTCCTTCCCTTTGGACTGTCCCTAGCTCCTCGCACTTTTACGAAGTGCATGGATGCAGCTCTTTGCCTGCTGAGACAGATAGGAATCCGCATTCTGAATTACCTCGATGACTGGCTCATTCTGGCCCAGTCGGAGGTCGAGCTACTTTCTCACAGATCCCTCCTCCTCAGCCACTTAGAATGCCTGGGACTCAGGGTCAATTTTGCCAGGAGCGCGCTGTCCCCCAGCCAACGGATATCATTCCTGGGAACAGTTTTAGACTCAGCCCGAATGAGGGCGATAGCCACGCCAGAACGTGCGCTGGCCATTCAGCAGCTCGCGGCCTCATTTAGAGTTGGAGCCTCTCACCCCTCAAGGTGTTTCAGAGGATGCTAGGCCTCATGGCCTCGGTGTCTCTGGTACTACAGTTGGGCCTGCTCTGCATGTGGCCCCTTCAGTACTGGCTGAAACCACGAGTTCCATCCCACGCCTGGCGTCTCGGACGCCTTTGCGTCAAGGTAGACCGGGCCTGTGTATCAGCCCTGGCCCCTTGGAAAGATCCTCGTTGGATGGAACGGGGCATGCCCCTGGGAATGGTCTACAGAAGGAAGGTAATCTCAACAGACGCCTCCAACATGGGTTGGGGAGCGCTGTGCGATGGCAAGCCAGCTTTCAGTCACTGGTCGAAAGAGGAAGGCCGGCTTCACATCAACTGCCTGGAAATGCTGGCAGTGTGTCTGGGCCTTCGGACCTTTCTGCCAGACCTAAGGGGACACCACGTCTTATTCCGCTCGGACAGCATGACGGTAGTGTCCTATGTAAATCGCCAGGGAGGTCTCTCCTCGAAGCGCCTCTTCGCACTAGTGGAGCACCTCTTGGAATGAGCTCAGCTCAACTTGCACTCGCTGAGAGACCTTAAATGGTCTGTCTTCTCCGCCTGGTGTACAGTCCGCGGCGCAGTCCCAATCTCATGCGACATATCTCTGATATTGTCCTTCCTGCAAGAGCTGTTGGACAAGGGCCGCTCCCCTTCCACGCTCAAGGTCTATGTAGCAGCCATAGCAGCCTCTAACGCTCCTATAGCTGGCCAAATTGTTCCTTGTGGGCAGGAAAAACTTGGTTGTTCATTTTCTGAAGAGGTCTAGAAGGCTCAACCCGCCTCGCCCCATCACTGTCCCTACATGCGATTTTCTTACTTACTATTTTTGTCTTGTTTTCCATTACAAATATCTAAACAGATATTCTTAAATCAAGGTAGATTTACTTGAGAAGCAAAATGACTTAAGATATTAAGTTTTGTTTTCTGAAAAATGTAGGCCTATCTAATTTTGTACATTTTTGCTTAAAACAAGAAAAAATATCTGCCAATTGGGCAAAAAAAAAAAATCTTGCATATTGCCTTTCAGAGATTATGAGCGATTAAGATTATAATTTTTCTTACCCCATTGCCAGATATATTTTCTTGTTTTAAGCAAAAACTAACAAGATTTTGATTCATTTTCCAGAAAACAAGACTTAATGTCTTAAGTCATTTTGCTTCACAAGTAAATGCATTGTGATGTAAGAATGTTTAGATATTTATGCTAAAAACAGGACCAAAACTTTTTTTTTTGCAATGTAGAAGTGGGGATACTAATTTTTAACAATGAGCCGTTTTAGGGGGGAGTGGCAGATTCTTAACTTTGATAAAGAATATCTCTTTGGTTTCGAGACTTTAGTCTTTGCAACTTCAGGGACCTTATCTATGCACAATCAGCTTGTAACACTCCAAAGAGAAAGGAAAACTTGAAATCGCATCATAGGACCCCTTTAAAATCCAATTTTTGAAAAGAAAAAAAAATTGGCATAGATTGGCACATAAAAAGGCTTACTATATGTAACATTTTAATGCACAAAACTGTAGTTCTCATAAAAAAAAAAGACATTCTGATTATGCCTAATAATGGGAACAGGCGATTTGAAATCTGATGGTAATTTTCTGAATAATGTGAATTTGTATTGCTTTTATGTTGTATTGGTTTAAAAAAGGATGAATTTAGAAATGCTGCTTCTCTGAAAGAGTTTACGATGGTAATGATCTAATAGCATGCTAAAGCACACTTATATATTCTCAGAGAAGTTGCATTTCTTAAAGTAATTCACCACTACTAAATTTCAAAAATAAAAATGTGAAGAAGTAAAAATGTGCATGACATTATTATAAATTGGCATCAAATTCACTAATGTATATTTGAAAATTATCTATTTTTACTATATTATTTTACTATATTAATTAGATGAATATTGTACATAACTAAATATTTAAAATACGTATAAGTAATGGCATGTAATGTACATTTGGTCAAGTCATGTTTATTTACAAATCACCTTATACACAGTTTTAAAGCAGCTTCACAGTATTAAACAGGGAAGTAGCAATCGGTGATGTCAACTTCATTAAATATAAGACAAAACTAAATTCTGCTGTAAAGCAGCTCTAAAAAGACAATAGTGTCATGCAGCTCTAGTCTTGGTTCAGATCAGTTCAACAACTGTGTAAAGTTCAGCAATTATAAAACAAGTTCAATTCAGCGATAAACAGCTCAACTGAAGACAATAATATCATTATTCAGCTCAAGTCAGTTCAATGTTAATTCAGTTCTGTTCAATAACAGTGTTGATGTTGCAATGTTCATCAATTACAAACAAATTCGATTCAGCTATGAAGCAGCTCTACAGAAGACAATCCAGTTCAAGTTTTGCTCTCATGCAATAGTGTCAGTGCCATCAAATCGATGATATTACTAAATATTAAGTGTCTATTTCGACCGTCAGCGTAGGCACGAGGTGAATGTTGAGACAGAACGAGCCCACGAGGTGGTACTGCGCATGTGTCAAACTCGTCTATCCGCGCTCATCTGCATCTGCAGTTGAGTATACTTTGAAAGCTGTGTGCGCGAGACGGAGGAGAACACAGAAAAAGAAGTATGCTCTGGCCTTAACACACCATAAAGGATAATAGAAAGTCAATGTTATGGTGGTCTGCTTATTTATTTTTGATCTGAGAGAAACACAAGAGTACATTGGGGTCACAGTGAGGAGCGAAGACCTTGGCAAAGTCACGGACAGTTGAGAGACTGACACATGCACACATATGCTAGCTATGAGCCTGTGTTAAAAGCAGTGTGTGTGTGTATCACATAAGATCAAAATAATTATTTCCCCCTCT